AGGGAACGCAATTTTTAACCGTAATTTTACGAAGCTTCGAGAATATTTTTTGTGCGCAGAAGAAAACAAATAAAATAATGACTTTATTCAACAATTTGTCTCCTCCGTCACCCTGGTGCCATTTTGGAGAGTATCCACTGAACGCAAACTGCGTATGCTATTCTGTGTCAGCTGTGTCACGCAGATACATTGTTTTCGTTCATAGATATCCAGTTGATATCCATGTAATTATAATTTTGTCAGCAAGGAAAAACATCTAATCTATGTATAACAGACACTAGTATTCATTGTTTTTAAGTTTCACAGTCAATGAAAGAGACTTAGACAATTATAGTCATGCTGCTACAAACTCTCAAACCAACTCTCAGCTCAACTTTTGAGTGAAGGTGAGTGACAAAGCAACCTGTTGGGTTTCTAACACAGGAGGTATGGCTCGCTGGGGTTTGCTCATCAAGAAGGCATTTATCACCTGCTTTTAGTAACGTATGGTTTGGCAATAAACTCTATGCGTTTCCACGGAAACTTACCTTTGCCATGCCAACCAACTCCAACGCTCAGAACTGTGATCTCTCACAGAGATTGGCCACTTAACAGCTGTCAGTGAGTTCATTAGATAAAACGTATACAGATAACAGAAGTAGCCGGTTTTAAACTAACAGTAACCATAATACAATGGCCATCACAATCATTTTAATGGGTTATTTATGGAGCTGTTCAGTCGTGACGTCAATTTGAATGCCACCGGAAGGCCATGGCTTCCCATGGAAATTTCCATGTCCAAGGTGGCACCTCATTAAGTTGGTTGAGCAAATGTCTTAAAGGTGCTGAATGTAACTTTTTGACTGTACTAAAGTATAAAAATCCCATTATATGTTTGCAGATATTTAGGAAACATGCTAAGTTCATGTACTTTTTCACGTTCACTTTTTTTTGTGTGTGAAAAAATAGTATTTTGACACCCCGGGATGCCAGTTGGTGGAAATCACAGAAGACATGGAAGCCAACAAATGAATATGGTCAGAGATCACAGATTCTACCTGACCTAAAAAGCCTCGGCATCCATCTAAAAAGCTCTATGACCAGAGGAATATTAAAACGCAGAAAAATCAACTCATTAACTTACAGCGTAAGGCTTGTTGCCTAACATTGTCAGTTGCGCTCGTTCCTTGTTGCATCTGGCAACCCGTGTGAGAGTTGAGTCTGAGGAGGGGGGCGAAAGAAACAACACTCCAATATTTGGAATTTGGACTGCAGTACATCAATATTGCATACTGCATCAATATTACATACTGCACCTTTAATCTAAAATATGAGAGAGAGTTGGTCATTTTTGGCCACTGCAGAATTCCCATAATTCCATTTGTGTTATTTCATAGTTTTAATGACTTTATATTATTTTAAAATATGTGAATAGTAATGGTAAAGAATGAGTAAATGAATTCTGCAGAGTACTAGAATAATTTATTCTTTAATTCAATTGAACTCTTTCCCCACCATTGACGGAATTTTCCGGCTTTCTGTGTTTTGACTGTTATACGGTAGGGGGCGCTATTAGGCATCTTTTGAAACAGTACTATATCTTTGGATCAAAACACAGATGAAGAAGAAGCAGAAACAAGCGATCGCATATGCAAGCAGATGCATATGTAAAATAACGCGATCAGACATTAAACAGCATATAAATCAAAACTGCCTACATTACTGAATGAAATGTCAACACAGGAAGTGGTATAGGACTGTGTAAGCTTTGGGGGTGTTGATGGAAACAATCTACTCCATCTATGATTTGAACATCGTTCTGAATCCAATCCGGATGCAGCCTTCAACAAAAATGCAATTTTCTTAGCTTTTTGTTCAAAATGTTTTTTTTTTTTTTAATGAAACCGCATTAAAGTGTTGATTAAAAAAAGAATGCATGCAGCTAGATAAATATGAGTTCCCTTTCAGTCGGTCACTCTCGACGTCACGTCGGATGACCGACGAAATTGGGATCTCGCTTAGAGAGACCAATCTACTTCGAGTGTAAACTAAACGAGCCAATGCACATTGGCATGCGATTATTGCATCCAGCTGCCGCTGATCACAGCGTGAGTATAAGTAGGCAGCAGATGCAGCGCATATTCAGCTTTTCGCTTCGGAGCCGAGCGATCACATCGTTCTGCTCCTGACTACTCTACTGAGAGAAGAAGACTGAACGAGTTCAGCGCGCTCTTGGAGAGCTCTTCGTGTTGGCGGTACGGCGCTTCAGCGGTGGTGGTTTCCCGTGTCGAGTGGGTTGCACACATCAGGCTGCACTACCCCCTGTTTGTGTTGCAGATGATCATCTCCCCTGTGCGCCTCAGCACGCTAAAAGAGCTTTTTCTCCTAAAAGAGCAATTTCGGGTGCGTCTTTTTAAAGACGATGTTGCGTGGCAAACTTGACGTTACGTCTTTGTAAAGACGATGTGGGTCTTGCTATAGACAACGTATCACCCGAGCGTTTCTGGATGCGGTCGTTAGCTGTCCCTCCTTCAGGGAACGAGGGTTACCATACGTAACCGAGACGTTTTTGGTTTAAAAGCAGAGACCATATTTTTTTCTTTTGACATATTGCATGTTCAGATATTTATACAACAAAATATTCTGGGGGCCATGAAATTTTGCAAAAATGTTGGCAGTGGCTGGCAACTTAAAAAAAAAACTGCTGGGGAAAGAGTTAATAAACTTGACTGAAGACATTCAGAAACTTGCTCTTTATCCTAAAATGTAATGGTTGCATTACAGGAACGCCTTCTAATGAGCCTGCTGCCCAGAAATGTTGCCATGGAGATGAAGGAGGACTTCCTGAATCCACCAGAAAGAATCTTCCATAAGATATACATCCAACGACATGACAATGTCAGGTACAGAAAGAACGAGAGAGAGTGTTTTTCAACAATCAAGCCATTCATGCTGAAAACCCACACTTGTTCAATGAATGAGAGGTGAGAGCACTACGTTCATAGTATTTTCCAGACTAGACAGTCAGTGTCAGTTCCATTGTACTTAAATTGTGATTGCGAATACTGAATCAGTGAGTCAATAAGAGTCAACAACTCTCCACTCACGCGCAGTCGTCTAAGTTCCTGAGTCTGGCTGCCAACCAAAGCTTGCACAGCGTGTACGGCGCACACAACTCAAGAGCTGCTCAATTAACCCACACTGCCCACACACGCGGCGAGATGGAGAGTGAGAGATGGAACAAGGCAGTGCTGGGGGGCATATTAACACAATAGCACATACACACATATACACATATGCCATCTCAAAGACCTGTTCCAGCCAAGAGATTGGTGAGTGAAAGATGATGCATAAAAGTAACTTTTCCATGACTAACTGACTGTCTAAAAGATGAGGTTAATCCAGGCCCAGCTCCAGATCAAACATGAAGAGTGGGCTGTATCTATGAGCTCTATAAAAGCTATATGTTTGTACTCTCATTCATCTGCCGTGTTTGCTTAGTTTTGAGATATAGGTTTTATTGAGTCCATAACCTGAGTCAGAAAAGCTATGTAACTAATGACGCTGGAGCCAGTGGTTTATTATTATAGTTTTTAATTTAGATTTTAATTTTTTTTCAAGATTATTTTGAGTTTGTCCTTTCAGTTTAGTTGGTTAGTGGTTGTTAGTTTTAGTTTTAGTTGTGTCATAGTTTAATTTTATTTAGATGTTATTTAAATCGCAGCATTACATTTTTATGTTAAAGAAGGCGGGTTATAAAGATCTTCATATTCTGTAATAAGTAATCTTAGTGTAAAACTAAAAATAATTTGTGGTCATTTAAAATTTTAATTTAGTTGAATTCAGCGTAAAATTGAAATTCATTTTATTTTCTAAATTCATGTTATTGGTCTTTCTTCTGTTTTTTTTCTTTTCGACTTTTTAATTTTTTATCAAAATGTCAATTCGATCTTCTTTAATTTAGTTGAATTCAGCGTAAAATTGAAATTCATTTTATTTTCTAAATTCATGTTATTGGTCTTCTGTTTTTTTTCTTTTCGACTTTTTAATTTTTTATCAAAATGTCAATTCGATCTTCAGGTAAAATAACATACTTTTTTCTGGTGGTGTACACTAAAAAAAATGATGTAGAAAGTTATTTTCACTCAGAAATTGCTAGTAAATTTCATAAATAATTTCTAAGAAATGGCATGTAACACACTGAAGTAAACAAAAGTTTGAAAGACTGAAATAGTACTTTCTTCTAAAACCTCCTCCAATAATCTGTTTTATTTTACAACTTCATTTTTATTTTAAAATCATTTTTTACCATGTATACCGACTTCTCCAATCATTTGTCTGCTTAAACTCCACCCTTTTCTTACAGTCGACTGGAAGCTCTCATTCAGATCTGCCTCCATCCAATCAACTAACAATCGATAGAACCAAGTTGTCGCCCTACTGTACATTTTTTCGAGAATCTGTTTCACTTGAATGTTCATCACAATACAGTGTAAAAGATCTGTCGCTACTTCTGTTTCATTGCATTTTTATATAGTCTTTATTAACAATAATAACACTACCAACATGATAATTGAATGATATAGTGCTGATTGGTTAATTGGACTATAGTAATCAACCAAACCTTGACTCCTCAGTGTAAGGCCTCGTGAGAATCATCATAACCTGTTGTCCTCTCGTTCTGTGCAGCATCCTGTTTGCAGACATTGTGGGCTTTACCAGTTTAGCTTCACAGTGCACGGCCCAGGAGCTGGTCAAACTGCTGAACGAGCTCTTTGGGAAGTTTGATGAGCTTGCTACTGTAAGTAATGCTATTGACATGTATGTGTTGAGAGAAAGGACAGGGGAGCAAAAATCCTATCATAAGGCTTGAGTCAGTGGGCAAACTTATATGATTGCTCACAGTCTGCAATATGCTAATCAGCATTATAATTATAATCCCCATTAGTGGCCTCAGCTTCTCATAGAGTCCCTCTGTGCACTGCGGGAGAGGGAAAGCGTTTGAGTTGGAAACAGTATTATCCTATCCACCTTTTTCTTCCCGTAAAAATGGCCACGGCCATTTGTAAATTCTATGGGTCTGGCTTCCAGTCTCATCTGCGTCCAGCTATTTTTTAAATTATATTATAGATTATATATTTATATTTTTCTTTTTCATAAAGAAAATGTGAGTGGTGAATGCACTTGCAAAACGTACCTTCATTGTTAGTCTCTCGATCCATTTTACTGTTCACCACATACAAATAATAAGTTTGATCACTTTCAAAAATGTTAGCAAACCTTGTCCTGAACAAACTGCATAATTTGAAGTGATAATGTTCACAGAACAAATGGTGCAAGACAGATTATTCACAGAATTTTAATAAAAGCTTAAGAGTTTGTTCTGATCCCTAACAATAGTAATAGAGATACTTGTCTTAGCAAACACTAGTAAATATTTCAGTAGCCCCTGACAGTAAATGCTAAATTACCATCCTGACAGCTGTGATTGTGTTTGCACTTTTCAAAGGTGCTGTCTGAGATCCTATATGAGCGTCTTTGATGTTGAATAACTGCAAATTACAACTGCAGCTTTTACTAGGCTTTTGCATTATTTGGATCTTTGTCGTGGATTGTAATTATCAATCCTCCAATAAGTAAACCTGTGGTTTCTTGTGTATTAGAAAGAGATAAAAGCAGATTGGCTTCAAATTTTTGCTTTCGTAATTTTCCTTTCTTCTAACACTTTCACGGCTAACTTTGTCCTTCTGTATCCCCAAGTCAGCAAGCGTAAATCTAGGCTAAATACAATCTTTTCCAGAGAAAAGTAAGGCTTTTTGAGAAATGCAGCTCTCTGTCACAAAAAACTAAAACTTTTTTTCAAGTTTGACATTAGTTTGAAATTCAGACAACAGTTGGAAGTGAATGGCACAGATGCTCCTTTTGCTGCTTGATATTGAAAATTGGTGTGTCTTACCATATTATTTTAATGTATCATCTTAATTATGAACACACTGGTTTGTAGTGCAAACAGTTTTACTGTTTACTGCATGTTGTTATTCTTCTCGTTATTTCCCTATAGTGGCTAATGAACCAGAAGTCTTGCCCATAGGCTTACTTCTGCGTTGAAGAAAAAGGTGGATAGCATCATAAAAATCACAGTGGACTAAAGACTTCTGACTGAGAAAAATTCAACATGAATTTGCATACACTACTGTTCATGTGACAGTAAAGACATTTACAGTATAATGTTACAAAACACTTTCACGGCTAACTTTGTCCTTCTGTATCCCCAAGTCAGCAAGCGTAAATCTAGGCTAAATACAATCTTTTCCAGAGAAAAGTAAGGCTTTTTGAGAAATGCAGCTCTCTGTCACAAAAAACTAAAACTTTTTTTCAAGTTTGACATTAGTTTGAAATTCAGACAACAGTTGGAAGTGAATGGCACAGATGGTGTATGTGTGTGTGTGTGTGCTTTGACAGGGGGTTTCCCACAGTCTCCTCCTGCCTGTGGTGCCAGATGGTGCATTTCTAATGAAATAGAGCAATCGATCTGTTGAGTTTCTTCTTTTCTGTCTTTCTGTTTGTTTTGCTCTCTTTAGTCTAAAGTGTCTTATTGTTCTGTTGAATCAATGTGGAGGGTCTAATCTTGATAATAAATGTCTTTACTGCCAATTTTTATTAATTTAAGGAATTCTTGTATTTATAATAAATGTATTTCATTTAAAAAATAAAATCTTACTGACCCCAAACATTAACATTTTATTTTAAAAGTGCAGAAAGTTTGGTTTAAAGTTAAATTACATAAGCAAGTCATATTTATTTCAGTGACCATTTTCACAGCGGTGCTGATTTTTATTTATTTATTTTTATTTATTTTTTTCGCAGTGCGTTGAAATCAACAGAAAAACATTGAAAATTCACTATTCAAACAAGATTTTGCTATAGGCTTGTATCCATTTTGTGATCGAAAAATATGTCTGTTAGACTTAATGCAAGTTCCACATAAAGTGACAAGCACAAAAACAGTATGGTATTTCTAAAACTCTCATCTGCTCATTTAACTGTAAAATTCCTAATAGTTTGTTCCAGCAGTACCATAATCATTCTTTCATTCATTCACTCTTAAATTGTGTAAATATGTAAGAAATCAGATTCTGTATAACCTGGTAGATACGTGTTATTAATCATCAGACTCGCTTTCAACTCCACCTCCCATTAATTGTGCTTTTGTGTATCTGATTGGCAGGAAAACCATTGCAGGAGGATTAAGATCTTGGGAGACTGTTATTACTGTGTGTCCGGCCTGACCCAGCCCAAAGCGGACCACGCTCACTGCTGTGTGGAGATGGGTCTGGACATGATCGACACCATCACGTGAGTGTTTGTGGCCAAATCTCATTTTGTTTTAACAGCAGTCACTGAGCCGGCCAGCCAGCCAGCAGCAGCAGCAGCTACGATCATCTGACAGACTGTATTTGAAAGCTATATAGTGATTTTATTTGTGTGGGAATGTGTGTGTGTGTGTGTATAAGACCTGCTCTACTATATTCATTTCTCTGCTCTGAATTCTAATGGCGGCTTTCACTGCTGCAGTCTCTTATCACCTCACACAGGTGCTAGGATATGCACACACACACACACACACACACACACACTTTCTGTCTCACATTAGTGTAGATCTCCTGCTTTGTGCTGGTAGCAAGCAGAGAAGAAATTCCTCCAGCCAAAGCTCTCTCACTCTCTTCAATCATCAGATCCGGCATTATAGTAAGGGATGAGGAGAGAATAAGGAGCTTTTGAAAAGAGGCAAGAAACATGACTCTAGTTTTCTAGATGGAAATATATAGCGTTCAGGGTTCCCACACGTTTTCAACAATGATTTTTTTTCTAGGACCTTTCTTGTTGTTTGTTATGGTGATTATGCCACTTGCTGATTTAAAATCCATTTAAGATCTATTTGTTGTAGAACTTATTGTTTATGATTCCTCCATGCATGTTTCATTTTTTTTTATTTGTTTTGACCTCTTGATTTTTAACTCAATCTTCTGGTGATACGACAAATTTATTTCTGGTGACATTGCTGGACATCTTCAATCATTTAGTGTTATTTTAGTATCAGATACTATTATAGTTTTTTATGATTTTTTTTGTTTAATTTTAATTTTCATTTTAATTAAAGTTTTTGTATTTTGTGTGTTTTAATTTTAATATCTATATAAATTTTTTTTTTTAATAATTTTTTTTTTATAAATTTTTACTTAAAATGTATAGTTATTGTTTATTTATTTTAGTACACTAGTACTAGTGCTAGTTTAGTACAAGTTAAACTAAATAGAAAATTCTGAAATAAATATAATAATTTTTAAATTATTTTATTTTATTTCAGTTAATGTTTTATTTTAAGTAGTGAGAATGTTTTACATAGTTTTATTTTTATTTTTAGTTATAATAACCCTCATCCAAACAATTGATGGACATAACCAAGTCCCAACCTACATTTTTAACTTTTTGATAATCCATTTCATGGAAGCCCGTTTCCGCCACTGAATAAAAATAAAAAAAAAGGTTATTGTGATATTGTTATTGTTATACTTTTTATCTCACAATTCTGACTTTTTTTCACAGAATTATGAGATATAAACTCGCAATTGCGAGTTATAAAGTCAGAATTGCGAGATATAAACTCACAATTGCGAGATATAAAGTAAGAATTGGGAGATATAAGTCAGAATTGCAAGATATAAAGTAAGAATTGCGAGATATAAAGTCAGAATTGCGAGATATAAACTCACAATTGCGAGTTATAAAGTAAGAATTGCGAGTTATAAAGTCAGAATTTTTTTTTCTCAGAATTGCAATTCTGACTTTATAACATGCAATTGCGAGTTATAAAGTCAGAATTGCGTGAATTGTGAGTTTATATCTCGAAGTTCTGACTTTATTTCTCAGAATTGCGACTTTATGTCTCACAATTGCTTATATGTTTATATCATGCAATTCAGAATTGCAAGTTTGTATCACGCAATTATGAGAAAAAAAGTCAGAATTGTGAGATAAAAAGTCGCAATTACCTTTTTTATTTTTCATGTCACAGTATGGAAGAAAATATATGTTGCTACTTTGGTTTCATTGCAATTTTTAAAAAAAAACTGTTCAAATCAGTTAATCTTTTGATCTGCTAGTGAATGATTTACAATGGTTTGTGAACAGGTCTAACAAATTAATAAAAAGTAAACAATCAAAAAACATTTTAAAAAGAGAGCCGTTTGTTCACAATTTGGACATCACTATAATTTACAAGCAAATTTTATTTTTAAGTAATATTTAGACAATAAGATATTTTACAGCAGATTATAACTAAAATTATAACTAAAATGTCACTATTTCAATAACATTTCCAGTTCCCTGGTTTGGAATTACAATTTCCTGATATTTTCACATTTTCTTGTAAATTAAAACTGTAAATTTGTATTTATTTATTAATTTTTTTAATTTTGCACTTGAATCTGTAATCGAAAACTTTTTTTATTATGCTTCATCCACACCTGTAAGTGTCAGTATAAAGACCACTCATGTATCGATAACGTTTACCTTTTTTGTGAATATATGTATATAATCAGGTCTGTTGCAGAGGCTACTGAGGTGGACCTGAACATGCGTGTGGGTTTGCACACGGGCCGTGTGCTGTGCGGGGTTCTCGGGCTCCGCAAGTGGCAGTATGACGTCTGGTCCAATGACGTGACACTGGCCAACATGATGGAGGCAGGAGGACTGCCTGGGTCAGTCAAGCACCACATTTAACAACATATTCAGACATTTATGCCATTTCTTCCCAACCGTCACGCAACCTTCATATAGCAAGGACTATATGAGCAGAAAGGTGAGAGTGTGATCATTTGCCCCTCCCGCAACAGGAAGGTTCATATCACCAGAGCAACGCTGGAATGTCTGAATGGAGATTATGAGGTGGAGCCGGGATTCGGCCACGAGAGACACTCTTTCCTCAGCAAACACGCCATCGAGACGTTCTTCATCGTGCCCTCACACAGACGCAAGGTACAAACACATCATCATCACGCCATAGACACATGAAACCACACTGATAAAGCACATATTTCCTGTTGAAACAGGAAGTGGGACATTTAAATAGCCGATGGACTATATTTACATTACAGCCATGAACCATTTGCTTATTGTTCTTGTTGCTATTTTTATTGCTATAATAGTACTAGGGAGGTATTACGTTCTCAGCATGTAATTGAACAAACAAAATTTGTTTTGAACGTTGAACCTTACTATTCATCAAAGAATCCTGAAAAATGTATCATGGTTTTCACAAAAATAATAAGCAGCACAACTGTATTTAACATTGATAATAATAATAATGTTTCTTGAGCAGCAAATCAGCATATTAGAATGATTTCTGAAGGATCATGTGACACTGAAGACTGGAGTAATGATGCTGAAAATTCAGTGTTGCATCACAGGAATAAATTACATTTTTAAAGTATTAAACATTAAAATATCGATAAAAATATCTATAAAAATAGATATTTTAAATTGTAATAATATTTCACAATTTTGCTGCATTTTTTAATCAAATAAATGCAGCCTTGGTGAGTATAAGAGACTTCTCAGAAAAACATAAAAAAATCTTACCGACCCCGAACGTTTAAACGGTAGTTTATACACAATTCTCTCTAAGATGTTTGTTTCTGTTAAACGTTTGAGTTTCTCAGCTGTATCTTCCCGATCTGAGAGATGAGTACAGTGCAATAAAATGATCCATACATGCATAATCAAAAGCTTTACAAACATCCTAGTCCATCTGGAGTTCTTTACAAATTGATTAGAGGCGTCTTCTTCATATTTTTTAACTTCTTCAGTCACCGTGGCCATTTTCACACATTCAGTTCATCTTTTCTCTTTCCTCATTTCACATTTCTTCCCACCCCCTCTCTTTTTTCTCTCTCTGCAGATTTTTCCTGGGCTGATCCTATCAGACATAAAGCCAGCGAAAAGGATGAAGTTTAAGACAGTGTGTTACCTTCTGGTGCAGCTCATGCACTGCAGAAAGATGTTCAAGGCTGAGATCCCTTTCTCCAACGTCATGACCTGTGAGGATGATGACAAGGTGCGTGATTAGTGCATATGTCCATCTTTATGTTATACATTGCGATGGAACAAGGAGGACCAGGGGTGGCACGCCACTTTTTCACATCAACTAAACATAGTCGACTGATATTAAATAGTTTTATAGTAAGTTTTATAGTTAGTTTAAATAGTTCCAGTAGTAGGAATACACTACACAACTTTTGCCCAAATTTTTACCTCGGATGAGTCGACACCAGTTGTCGAAAGTCAAAGCCAGTCTGCAGATTTTGGGCAGTCAGTATTGACAGATTCCACAGAAATCATGTAGCGTATGATAGTCACAGACTCTGTCAGAGGATATCAAACATTTTTGATATTTTGAGCCAGTTTTCGAACACGTTGTTTTCATTTGTCATGTGTCTCCTAGCAACAAGGCGCATGTTTCTGTGTGAGTTTGTTCTGTTCGGAACTACGGAAGTGTATGATGTCTAGTGTTTTAAAAGCTTTTAGAAGTTTTGATTTTAAAAGTCATGTAATGTATTCCAGCCTTGCAGTTTTAACATCTGATATTATTTCAAAGAGTTAACTATTTAAAAATGTCTGAACCGAGCATCTACCCACTGACCCACAAAATCCCTGCATCAACAAAACAACAAAAGGAATGAAAATGATAGTTTATTCATACAAATGACTGTGTAAGGAGATTGGCTGAACTTATATTTACTTATATAGTACAACAAAATACTAATGAATATTAAGTAGCCTAAAATTTTTTTACATTTAAGTATATATTTAAACCCGGCATTGAAAACCTCATTGACATGAGATTTAAAAAATGATTGGGTTTTATTTTATGTCCAAACAGAAACAGATTTGGACATAAAACCCGGCCACAAAAAAAAATAAAAAATGCCAATCCTGTTACGGATTAAGATAAATGTGTTTATGATGTAAAATTACAGTAAAATGTGCTAATAATATTTGATCGAGCGAAATCCTGGTCTGATGTTGAATTAAACTGGCAATCAGAGAGGCCTGCAATGATGTAGTCAAGTGTATCTGCACAAGAACCACCTTTACAAAGGTGGCTCACAAATATTGATAACCTAATTAATATTCATGAGGTATGACATCACTGTGTCACGATGTCACAACTAGTCAATCAGTAAAAAGTTCCATTGCTGCTGATATATGGTGATTGCTGTTTTTTTCACAATCCTCCAATACTTGTTAATCCAAGATCCCAAAATCACCCTAAATCACTTTTCACGCCCACACAAATCACATTCACTGTTTTAATCCAGTCCGCTTTCTAATGCCACTCCTTCAGATGAGTGGATGATTGCACACAGATCCAGTCACCACTGCAGATTTACTGTTCTCATCATGTCTGACTCTCTCTGTGTGTGTGTTTTGACTTGTATCAGTGCATAATTAAACATCTTATCACCATTGCATGTGTGAGAAAATATGCTGAGATGTGTTGAACACCCATCTGTTATGTACTGAAATTTATTTGTATATAAACTTGAATTTTCAAATTTGGAATCTGCTATAGTGGAATTGGAAATGGAAATTTTCCCTGGGTTTTTTAGAGACGAGCGCTGCGAACAACTTCCGAGAAGCTGCAGAATCGGACGTCATTTTCGGCAGGCATGGTGCAGAACTCTCCCGGGACCAGAGTGAACCGTTACATCGGCCGTCTGATAGAAGCACGACAGACGGAGTCTGAGACAGCAGACCTCAACTACATTACCCTCACATACAGGAGCAGAGAGAGAGAGCAGAGAGTGAGTACACACAGATGCACGATGGGTAAACATGTAGGTAAGAGCAGGACTAGTTGTCACATGGGGGCAGTTTTCACAGAGTGGGTTTGAACCTCTTAAAATAGAATGATTTTTTAGATTCTGACTCTAAACAAACATACTATATCATCATTTTTGTGCTATAGCTGCTGGGTGGGTAAATGAGTAATCACCATAAAACCACATAGACATAAATCTGGCCCCCAGATTTTAATGTAATTTTTTTAAATAAATGTCTGGTTGGGGCAAATAGTCACATGTGTTTTAAATTTTATAAATCTATCGAAATAATTTTTAAATACAATGTTTGTTGGCCAAAACAATGGTTTGGTATTTTTAAAGTAAAGTTACCTTTTACATTTTTGATGTGCCATGAATTTGTATCTTTTTTGTTTTGTTTTTCAAGTGTTTTACCGTTTAAATACCGCAGAAAAGTAAAAAATACAGTGTTTAATGGCAAGTTGAATTGTGTCAACTTACACCATATAGTGTGACAACATGGCCCGCTATTGGCCAACTGTATCAAAATGAACCGTATCAAAAGCTAAGACTTTACGGTAAACTACCATTGAAAATTTTGGAGTCTGTAGGATTTTATTTTTTTATTTTTTAACGAAGTCTCTTATGCTAACCAAGCCTGCATTTATTTGAACAAAAATACAGTAAAAAACATTGTGAATTATTATTGCAGTTTTAACAATATTAAATATTTAAGAAACATTTATTATTATCAATGTTGAAAACAGTTGTGCTGCTTCATATTTTTGTGGACACCGTGATACATTTTTAGGATTCTTTGCTGAATGAACAGGATTTATTTGAATTAGAAATCTTTTGTAACACTATAAATGTCTTTACTGTCACTTTTGATCTACTTAACACTCCTTTCTGAATAAAAGTATCGATTTCTTAAAAAATAAAATCGTACTGACCTCAAACTTTTGAATGGTGGTGTATGTCTATGCAGAAACAGACTTGAACAAAATAAACTTAGCCTAGGAAATATTCACCAAAGTGAAAAGTGTGACAATGTGCCCCGGTGTAGTAACAGCAGTAACTGATCCAGGGAACTGGCAGTAATGACTTGGCGAAATGTGAGAGAGATGGAGTGAAGAATTTCCTCAAGACACACATGCCGCATCCCCCACATTGTTCTGTTGTGCTTCGTGACTCCCTGTCTCCTCACTTTCAACATCCTCTCTCCCCCTCATCTCTCTCGCTCTCTCCTTTCTCACTAGCTCTCTCCATTGCTCTGTTCTCTATTTCTTTGCCTATATTCAGTCCTCTCCGATCCCTCCCATCTTCGATTGATGTAAGACGTCCGCCCACCCTAACAGAATGGGGGCAACAGTAATGATTTGGGAAAATCTGTCAGACTCACGACATATATTCTCTCTCTCACACACACACACACACACACTCGTGCGTGCTGGAGCACAGTGGCTTTCCCCACTCTCTCTGGGAGTATAATGACATTTCATCTGGCTCTTATGATGAGGGGGATGCTGGTTTTTATACTCTAATGAAGCTTACGCAGAAAGCAGTGTGTTGCATTGATCTCCTGCAGGCTGCACTGGAATGAGACTAATACATGTTACTTGTGACACTTACAAGAGATACAACAAAGCATATGTTTACATGAATACACAGGTGTTTCTTCAACTTTGGGCACATTTATTTATTGATTTTTATCAGAATTGAACTATTTAAATGTTTTAATACTTTTCTTTTATTTATTAAAAATGCCTGTAAATTTAATAGTTTTTCTCATGTCCCAGGCTTTCAGTATTAAAATATAAATATGTTTTTAAAATATTATTACATTAAAAAAAATTCTGATAATATAACTCAGAGTGAAATTAATATATATATTTAACAACTCATTGTTTGAAAATTATTTATTTTTACTCAAACTGTCCCTCAAGTGTGGCATCATTTTCATCACAGCCAACAAAAAAGTGTTATTTGTTACCAAGGAGACAACAGAGTGTTGGTGAAGAGCACAAATGAAATATAAGATGTAATGAAAACTAAGAAAATGTATTAATATCATTTGAACAGAACAGAATATTTTTCATAGTGTTTTTATTTTCAATCAAGCTGTAATTTTGTCAAATTTTGTGGAAAAAAAATATTTGGAAATTTTATTTAATTGTGTGTGTTTAGGATGCGTAAAATGCTAGTTGTAAAATTAGCCATAGCAAGACAAAAGAGTCACCCTTTTATTTAAAAAAAACAAAACCTTTCCATCATTGTCATTTCATCACAAAATAAATGGTGATTTTAAATATGATGGAAATGACATTCGTGCAGATGGTGATGGAAAAACATGTTTTAGGATGCCCATACAGTAGCTAAACATGCCCATACAGTAGCTAAAGAAACAGCTTTACACACATACTGTAGAAAAACTGATTGCTACAACCTATCAAATTGTCTCTGTCTCTCTCTGTCACACAGTATCAGCAAGTGTATGACGATGCCTTCATCAGTGCGGTGGTTATCTCGCTTGTCCTCACTTCATTTTTTGCAGTGGTCTATTTTCTCATCATTCCTCAGTATGTAAATCACAAACACAATATCTGACATATCAACATAACACACCTTTTTTTCATTTTTTTGCCAGGCACACTAAATTGATCATTTTACATGCTCAGGTAACTGCATCACACAACACACGTTTATAACATCCTCTCTCTTTCTCTCTCTCTTTCTCTTGCTGCAGAGGTTTTCTGGTTGTGATTCTGCTGGTTCTCTGTTTGTGTTTCCACATGGCAAGTGTGATGTACCTTCACATCACTCATGTGCAGGTAACACACACACACACACACACACACACACACACACACTAGTTTCCATGTTTTTTGTGGACTCTCCATAGACGTAATGATTTTTATACTGTACAAATTATATTTTCTATCCCCTTACCCCAACCCTACCCCTCATACAAAAGTTTCTGCATTTTTAGATTTTCAAAAAAGATAATTCCGTATGATTTATAAGCTTGTTTCCTCATGGGGACCCAAAAAAAAAAAAAAACAAGGACAAAATTTACTGGAATTGTCTTTTTTTTAAATTTTTTTTTTTAACTTGGGCCAGTAAGCAACCACCCAGAATATAACAGCAACCACATAGCAACACCCCAGTATCCATCCAGGGCACTCTAGCACCACCTATCAATCATCCAGAACATCCTAGAAAAACTAAACTAGAGACTGCTTATAGAGACATACTGCTTTTCTACCGGGTCTGGTGCCGGAGCCTAATTGGGAACCGGGCAGCGCTTTTTCACTCAAAAAAAAAAAATCCTGGGCTGGGTCCCAGATCCTGGTTCTGAACCGGACCCGGAACCTTGCTGGTCTCAAACAAGGGAATCTATGACGTCAGTAAGCAGAGCTTTTACTACAGACCACAGTTTGAAAGGAGCCATTAGGCTTGTTCGTGATGCTTCAGCACTGCACAGACCGATCGGCATATGAAATCAAAGTACTGCGAGAGCAATTGGAGAGCATATGAGTCTTTATGCTTTTGAATTGTTCTCTTGGTACTTTGATGCCATACACCGATCGGTTTGCTCAAATAAACTCGCACAAGCCTATATTTAAAAGCCGTCGGAGTTCAGGTAAATTAACAACATTAACAACAACAATTAAATATGTCAGTTCAGCAGTGGTCAGCAGAAGAGATCTCTTCTTCCGCAAGAGATAACAAGCGATTCCGGTCACAGATTGGTGACATAGAGGGTTCTGCTCCCTGCCAGTGGAAACATGAGCCGGTTCTTGGCCAAGTCTTGGCCAAACACCGGTTCCAGCTCTGGCACCAGCCCCTGTGGAAAAGAGGTACCAGAGTACTCTAGCAAACATCCAGAACATTGAAACTTCTCTGAACAGAACCATCCAGAACACCTTAGCAACACCCTGCAACCACTCAGAGCACCCTAGCACCACCTAAAAACATCCCCAACACCCTACAAATACCCTAGTAACCACCTATAACTCCCTAGTGCCATCTAGTAACCACCCAGAATGCCCTGCCATCACCTAACAACTCAGCAGCCACATAACAATAGCTTAGCAACCTCCCACCTAGTACCACCTAGCAACCATCCAGAACACCCTACAAATAAACTAGCAACTAGCAGCTATCTAGCAACTACTCAGAACACCACAGTGGCACCTAGTATCCACCCAGAGAGCCCTGCCATCACCTAACAACTTCTCAGCATGATAAGCAGCAAAATAGCAACACTCCAGCAACCACCCAGAACACCTTAGCACCACCTAGCAACAATCCAGAACAACACTGTAGAAACTTTGCAGTAAACAGAGCATCAACCTAACAATCACCAAGAGCACCCTAGCACCTCCTACAAACCATACTAGCAACACCTTAGAAACCACCTACTAGATTGGCCTGCCATCACCTGCAGTAACATCTAAGCAGAACATCTAAGCAACCACATGACAACACCAAGCAACCATCCATAACCTTCTGGCACCAACTAGCTACCACCCAGAACGCCCTAGCACCACCTAGCAACCACTCAGAACACCCTGCCATCACCTAACAATCACCCAGGGCAACCCAGCACCACCTAACAACCATCCAGAACACCACCTAGCAGACACATAGCAACACCTCAACAATCACCCAGAGCAGCCAAGCACCACCTAACAGCCACGTAACACCTTAACAACCACCTAGAGCAAGATAGCATCACCTAAAAACCATCCAGAACACTGTAGCACCACCTAACACATAGCAACACCTTAACAACCACCCAGAGCAACCAAGCACCACCTAACAACCATCCAGAAGACCATAGTGCCACCTAGCAGCCACATAGCAACACCTTTACAACCACCCAGAGCAACCAAGCTCCACCTAACAACCATCCAGGACACCCTAGTACAACCTAACAGCCACATAACACCTTAACAACCACCCAGAGCAGCCAAGCACCACCTAACAACCATCCAGGACACCCTAGTACAACCTAACAGCCACATAACACCATAACAACCACCCAGAGCAACCTAGCACCACCTAACGACCATCCAGAACAACGTTGATCCACCTAGCAACCACCCACAGCACCCTAGCATCATTGAAGTAATTTTTTTCAGAAAAATGTCAAACTCTAGTTGTTTGTGTGCATTTGTTCTTCAGGTTTGCTGATTGCTCTCTCCTGTCTTTGTCTGTGTTCTCAGTGCTCTCCTGACTGTCTGACCCTGCAGATCAGAACGGTTCTGTGTGGGTTTCTGGTGCTGCTGATGTACTCCGTGACCCAGGGGTGTGTGGTGAGTGTGTGCATAAGGTATTTTATTTATATATATATATATATATATATATATATATATATAAAATACCTTTATTTAACTTCCAAATATGTTTACTTATTAGTTTCTTTCTGATGTTCTTGTCTTGAATGTGTTGCTGTACCTACACAGGTGGAATGTGTACCGTGGTCACTGGAGGGGAATTCCAATGTCTCCATGGTGACAATTGTCACAGTCAACGGGACCGGCGTGGGCTCCAGGGTGTGCAAATACACTCCGTATGTATTTTTATCATGTGTGATGGCTTCGCTATCTGTGGCTCTGTACCTCCGTGTGTCATCACTACCCAAGATCCTCCTGCTTCTCCTTCCCAACATCCTCCACACTGTCGTCATGGAGACCAGCGGCTATCGGAAGGCCATAGGGTTAAAAACCATCCAGAACACTGTAGCACCACCTAACACATAGCAACACCTTAACAACCACCCAGAGCAACCAAGCACCACCTAACAACCATCCAGAAGACCATAGTGCCACCTAGCAGCCACATAGCAACACCTTTACAACCACCCAGAGCAACCAAGCTCCACCTAACAACCATCCAGGACACCCTAGTACAACCTAACAGCCACATAACACCTTAACAACCACCCAGAGCAGCCAAGCACCACCTAACAACCATCCAGGACACCCTAGTACAACCTAACAGCCACATAACACCTTAACAACCACCCAGAGCAGCCAAGCACCACCTAACAACCATCCAGGACACCCTAGTACAACCTAACAGCCACATAACACCATAACAACCACCCAGAGCAACCTAGCACCACCTAACGACCATCCAGAACAACGTTGATCCACCTAGCAACCACCCACAGCACCCTAGCATCATTGAAGTAATTTTTTTCAGAAAAATGTCAAACTCTAGTTGTTTGTGTGCATTTGTTCTTCAGGTTTGCTGATTGCTCTCTCCTGTCTTTGTCTGTGTTCTCAGTGCTCTCCTGACTGTCTGACCCTGCAGATCAGAACGGTTCTGTGCGGGTTTCTGGTGCTGCTGATGTACTCCGTGACCCAGGGGTGTGTGGTGAGTGTGTGTGTACAGTAGAAGAGAGTGACAATTGTATGACTGAGGGTGTTGCTTATAGAATATACACTAATAAAAAAAATCTTTGTGTTCTCAGTGCTCTCCTGACTGTCTGACCCTGCAGATCAGAACGGTTCTGTGCGGGTTTCTGGTGCTGCTGATGTACTCCGTGACCCAGGGGTGTGTGGTGAGTGTGTGTGTACAGTAGAAGAGAGTGACAATTGTATGACTGAGGGTGTTGCTTATAGAATATACACTGATAAAAAAAAATATATATTTAATATATGTATATATATATATATATATATATAAAATACCTTTATTTAACTTCCAAATATGTTTACTTATTAGTTTCTTTCTGATGTTCTTGTCTTGAATGTGTTGCTGTACCTACACAGGTGGAATGTGTACCGTGGTCACTGGAGGGGAATTCCAATGTCTCCATGGTGACAATTGTCACAGTCAACGGGACCGGCGTGGGCTCCAGGGTGTGCAAATACACTCCGTATGTATTTTTATCATGTGTGATGGCTTCGCTATCTGTGGCTCTGTCCCTCCGTGTGTCATCACTACCCAAGATCCTCCTGCTTCTCCTTCTCAACATCCTCCACACTGTCGTCATGGAGACCAGCGGCTATCGGAAGGCCATAGGGTAAGTCAAGCAAAACACAAAAGTTATAGCAGTGCTTATAGTTCATGTTTGTTTGATTATCTCAGGGTTTACCAAACTGTGGTTTGTGAGTTGATGAAAAGAGAGTAAAAATAATGTAATCATAAATAAAAATGAAATATTTTGTTTACCTGCATGTAATGACATCATTAACCAACATCAGAAAACTGTGAACATGCAAATGTGTAATTAAATTATTGAAATATTAATTTAAAATGTTTAAATAAATTTTTACGTTTAAAAGGCTGAATCCCTTTCTTATCTGATTATCTGATGGGTGTCATATGTGTGTGTGTGTGTGTGTGTAGAGGTGGATTCTTTCACACACATGGCTATGACCCGGTTCTGGCAATGCTGTTGTTTTCTGGAGCTCTAGTGCTTCACTGCAGACAGCTGGACCTCAAACTCAGACTGGACTACCTCTGGGCCACCCAGGTGAGTGCACCTGTGTGTATATGCAAACATTAGGGGTTTTTGTTTCTTTGTGTGTATGTGTGTGTGGTTTCAGAATGCATCATATGAACAGGCTAACACAGAATCTACGTGAGCTTGACATGGATTTCATACAGTTCTGTGAATCCTTTTGCTCCTTGTGAGCTTAAGTATTTCAGCTCTGTGTAACATATTCCATAGTCCATTAAACAGAATTGTTCCCCAAAAATCAGTTCAGAATATGCAAAAAAACTCCACAGATTCAGGTCACATGCCCACAGATCGCCCATAGGCAAGTGTGAGAGTAATTTGACCGAAATGAGTTTAACCTGAAATAATAGTTATAATAATAATGTAAAAGAATTACAACAAAATAACACACACACACACACACACATACACACACACACTACTGTTGAAAAGTTAGGGGTCGTTTCCTGCTCTTCTGCTCACCAAGGTCGAATTTTTTATAAAAAAAAATACAGTAGCAACAGTGCTGTGAAATAATAGTAATTTTAAATGTACATATTTTTCTATTTGAATATATTTTATAATGTGTCACATGGTCCTTCAGAAATCATTATAATATGCTGATTTGGTGTTCAAGAAACATTTCTTATTATTATCAATGTTGAAAACAGTTGTGCTGCTTAATATTTTTGTGTGAAACTGTGCCACAATTTATTAGGAAGTTCAAAAGAAAAGCATTTATCAGAAATAGAAATCTTTTATAACATACTATGAATGTCTTTACTGTCACTTAATGAATCCTAGCTGAATAAAATATTAATTTCTTTTATAAAAAGTCCCCAAACTTTTGAAGAATAGTGAATATTTTCTACAGAAAATACTAAATAGTAAGCATCATCAGCACTGTGATAGCAAGCTATTTCCACAGCAGCAGTGCCCTCTAGTGGATGTTTTGTTTTCAGAATATAATTTTTTTGTAAACACAAAATATTTTTATTAAATATTTAAAATCTCCAGTGACTGTAGTAGGAGTATGCAGTTAATTGTTAACATGTCAATTTGTGTGTTTTGTCCACAGGCTGAGGAGGAGAGAGATGACATGGAGAGAGTGAAGTTGGACAATAAAAGGATTCTGTTCAACCTTCTGCCTGCACATGTAGCTCAACACTTTCTGCTGTCCAACCCGCGAAACATGGTCAGATTTCATTTACAGATCACAGAGAATAACCCTAAAGACAACATGAGATACCAATTAACTTCCAATAATGTGACACATTTCTAAGCAAAATAGCAGATTCAGATGAAGTGAAGTGGGGAGTGGGGCTTAATTCATCCATCATGATGTGAGTCAATAATTATTTAGTCAAGTGGCTTGATATTATTGGCCAAAAATGAAAATACTGTCATCATTTACTCACCCTCACGTCGTTCCAAATCCACACGACTTTCTTCTGCGAATCACAAAAGAAGATATTTTGAAAAATGTTGTTGACCAAAAAGTTGATGGTAGCCATGGATGTCACTAGCTACCATCAACTTCTTGATTACCAGCATTCTTCAAAATATCTTCTTTTGTGTTCAATAGAAGAAAGAAACTCAGGTTTGGAACAAGGGGAGGGTGAGTAAATGATAACAGAATTTTCATTTTTAGTAGTTATGTCATTTCATACACAGAAAACCACAAATACACACTTTCTTCAGAAAGATGTGCACAGATAAGCACAATACGACAATATACATTTATTAAGAAAGTAAAAACCAGGTCAGTTTTAAATTCATTCTGTCTAATAATGTACATCTCAGTTGTTGTAGTTCCCAAAGTCACCACTTTATGGCAATGTTGTTATGATCCAGCTGCCAATTCGGTGAGAGGTCAGCTTAGATGCTTTGATGATAGCATGTGTTTTGATCATGCAAATGAGATAACATTGTGATTGTGTGTAGTGTAAATCCTCAGCCGCTCCATCTGGCTTTGTGATCTTACTGTCGGGCTTCATTGTAAAGCCTTGTGAACACAACAAATATGTGATTAAACTTGTGTTATGCGTTTTGTTATGATTTTTATGCTTGCTACATCTTTCTTTCTTTCTTTCTTTTATTTCAATTTTTTTTTAAACTTTATTTTCATCCAAAAATCCTGAAAATGTATTACAGTTTCCAGAAAGAAATAAGCGGCACAAACAGCGCAATTTTTAACATTGAAAATAATAAGAATTATAAAAATTATAATAAGAATGATCATTTGATTAGAATTATTTCTGAATGAAAAAAAAAAACCTAGAGAAATGGCTGATGAAAGTTCAGCTTTTCAAAGTTTTAAAAAACTTTAGTTAAAAAAAGCCAGTTTTAAATTGTATTTTATTTACATTTTTTTAAATAAGTTTTATTTTAGTTTGTAACAATATTTCACAATATTATTGATTTTGCCTCATTTTTGATTAAATTAAATTTCTTTCAAAAACATTCAAAGATCCTACCGACCCCAAACCTTTGAATAGCAGTGTAAAATGCCTAACCTCAGCTAGATTTCAGCTAGACTAAAGCATTTATGTGTCATTTAAAAAGGCAAATTATTACTTTTTTATTGAAAAATTAGTCCGTCTAAAATCAAACATGCATGTAAACACTAATATTAGTTTGGTAAACAAAAATGCACAGAATCAGTTTTCTAAAGTGTTTTTGAAAAATCACTTACTCTGCCTTTAATCTTTTGGTGCAATGTTTCCTGTTTACAGCCATAAGACACCAAATTGTTGCTATGGTTATATCCAAAACATAATTTTGGGAGTGACTCCTATACTCCATACATATACTGTAGAATGATAATTAAAGGGAGTCACTTCTGTATTTAAATGCGGTTGTCACTCCCAAAACTTTGCAGTGTGTACGTGGCCAATATGTCTATAATAATAATAATAAATCAAATCCTTCTATTTCAGAAGAGCAAGAAAAGCCCTATTTTATGTAAACCACTGTGATGCAGTTGTATCATTGATTTTAGATGGACGTGTACTCTACCTTTTAATATCGCTAGCAGGTTTAGCTTTGACCAAAGTCAACTTGTCCAGTTCATGCATGTTGTGTGTCGTGACTAATTACCGTAGGCTTACCTTCTCTAACTGCTGTTATATTTCCAGCTCAGCCTGGATCAGTGATATCGTCCCCTGAGGGTCTCATGGCTCTTTCCTTTCTGCTCTTTCACTGTTTCAGGACCTGTATTATCAGTCCTACTCTCAGGTGGGCGTCCTGTTCGCCTCCATCCCCAACTTTAATGACTTCTACATTGAGCTGGATGGAAACAACATGGGTGTGGAATGCCTCCGGCTGCTAAACGAGATCATCGCCGACTTTGATGCGGTGAGAATTTATTGTCTCCCAGCTCCAGATATGTATGTTTTGACTCAGTGTCTGAGTTACCTTAATCCCACTCTTGGCTTAATTTATTTCTCTCTCACACCATCTCTCTCTCTTTCTCTGTCTCTGTCTGTAGCTGATGGATAAGGAATGCTACAGAGACATTGAGAAGATCAAAACGATTGGCAGTACTTACATGGCTGCGGTCGGACTCGTCCCCACTGCAGAATCCAAGGTACACTGAGTGTGATTTAGATCAATCATTTTCTCAATCAGAATTTGTGCCTTATTTTCCAGTAAAATGATCTAAATGACTTTAAAACAAGATTATTTAAGGAGCAAAAAGGCTTGATTTTAGAGAATGCACTTTTCTAAAGTTTGGGGTCGGTAAGATTTGTCATTTTTATTTATTTATTTTATTTATTTATTAAGTCCTTTGTGTCTACCGAGGCTGGATTTATTTGATCAAAAATACAGTAAAAAAATCTGTAATATTGTGAAATATTATTACAATTTAAAATAACTGTTTTCGATTTTAATATATTTTAAAATGTAATTTATGTGATGACAAAGCTGAATTTTCAGCATCATTACTCCAGTCTTCAGTGTCACAAGATCCTTCAAAAATCATTCTAATTTGCTGATTTGCTGCTCAAGAAACAGAATAGAAAGTTAAAAGAACAGCTTTATTTTTTCAATTTATTTATTTTTTATTTTTAATACATTATAAATTACTTTACTGTACCTTTTGACCAATTTAATGCATCCTTGCTGGAAAAAAAGTGTGTCTTGAAATAGGTTTAAAGCTTGAATTAAATTTAAGTATAAATTTAACAAGATTTAGTGAGGTTTACACTTAAAAAGTTAAAACACACTTCAAATTTTATTTTATCTAAAGTTACACAATTCTGTTTCTCAAGTATATTTATTTTAAGGATGTTTAGATATTTTAAGGATTAGTAAACAATAAAAATGAATCAAATAAGACCGTGTGTGTGTTTGTGTTTTTTGTGTGTGTATAATAGTGCTTGTAAGGTCTTGAAAAGTGAGAGCATTAAGAGATAACTTGTGTGTGTGTGTGTGTGTGTGTGTGCGTGTGTGTGTGCGTTTGTGTATAATAGTGCTTGTAAGGTCTTGAAAAGTGAGAGCATTAAGAGATAACTTGTGTGTGTGTGTGTGTGTGTGTGTGTGTGTTTTCAAGCTAATCTCAGTTTGGGTGTATTTGCATTTGGCCTTGAAAATCATGTCATGGCACCACTCAAACCTGCCACTGCTTTCAAAGCAAAACCAATATCAAATGCGAACACACGTGTGTGTTTGTTTTTCTGTCACAGTGGAGACTTTCCATTGAATTCAGTTATTTTTATAATGAGCTAATGATATTTTCTCCTAACCCTAACATAAACACAGCCCACGGCTTAATTAAAGGGATAGTTAACATGAAAATGAAAATTCTGTCATCATTTACTCACCCTCATGTTGTTCCGAATCTGTGTGCGTTTCTTTGTTCTGTGGAATCATGTATTTACCCTCATTTACCCTCACTCTAAACCTGTAGGATTCCTAAATTGAACACAAAAGAAGATGTTCAGAATGTCCCAGCTTCCCTTTTCCATATACCAAAAGCAAGTGACCCTGAAATCCCATTTGCACATCCTCATATTCATATAGCAGATGTCAAGATTTTGAGAGAATAACAATAACAGTCTGTTTCGAACACAAAGCTATGAAATGACTTAAGAAAACTTGGAAGGATGTAGAATGAACTACTTTTATAGTGCTTTTGTGTCTGTTTTGGAGCTTGACAGCTCCTGGTCACTGTGCTACATTGTTTGGAAAATAAGAGCAGTGTGAACATTCTTCAGAATATCTTCTTTTGTGTTTCACAAAAACATCAAACAGGTGAGTAAAATGATGACAGAACTTTGTGTTTTTTGCTGAAATATTCCCATATTCTGATCCTAAAATCATCCAAAAAATTACTCTGTTTATTATCGTCATTTCACAACAAGAGGTGGTAGTATATGAAGAAAGTCTTTCTGTTTTCTCTCTGTTCTCCCCGAATAGGTAAAGAAGTCCATTTCTGTGCACCTGTGCACAGTGGCTGATTTCGCCATTGAGATGTTTGACGTACTGGATGCGATCAACTACCAGTCCTACAATGACTTTGTGCTTCGAGTTGGTGAGTGACCTTGTTAGAGCGAGGGGTCAGCCGTATGTGTGCTTCTGTATAAGTGGAGGAAATGCGTCAGTGAGTGTGGACATTGTGCCGGACATCCCGCATCCAGTAGGATGTCCTGAGCGTAACTTTGTAGGGAACAGATTACATACACACAGTTATACACACATGCATGAACAAGCTACACTACATACACACTTCTTTACAAAATGCAAAACCTTTCTGTCATGAATTTAAACACCTCTCTATTAAAGCATTAGTGGTATGCTGCAGTTAATATAATATCCATCCCTTCAGCACTCATAGACTCTAGTTGCCGAGTAGATTATTATTATTTATTTATTTATTTTTTGGGCAAACTGAAGGTTTAGCACAGGGAGCTGCTCAGAAAAACACACCTGCTACAAATCATTTTTAATGAGAAGGGCAGACAAAACTGGCACAATCCTGTAAAACTGTAATTACATTTTTAATCCGCTTGACAATTCACATTTGCAAAATATAAAATTGCAGTTATGAGAAGGAATTTTGCAATATACTTATGACAAAATGTAATAGCTTTCTCCACCTCTGAAACACATTTTTTTTCTGCTGATGTAACCAAGGCCACATGGTCAGGAAAAATAAGATGAAATTATAATTTTTATATTTAGTATTTCAGTTTTTTTTTTTATACACTACTGGCCTCTTTCAATGCCACACTGCCTGTTTTTATTTAATTAAATCTTTATTTATTTATTTTTTAATTTAGCAAGGATGCATTTCATTAATCAAAAGTGAGAGTAAAGACATTTATAATGTTACAAGAAGATTTCTGTTTCAAATAATTACTTCTATTACTTTCTATTCATCTATTTTAAAAAGTATCACGGATTCCCCAGAAATATTAAGCAGTTTTCAAAAAAATATTTTAAAAATATTAAACCGTTTTCTACTTTGTTAATAATATGAATCGATTCTTAAACAGCAAATCAGCATATTAGAATGATTTCTGAAGGATCATGAGAAAATGCTGAAAATTCAGCTTTACCATTACAGGAATAAATTACATTTTAATATATATTAAAATACAAAACAGATATTTCAAATTGTAATAATATTTCACAATGTTTTTTATTAGTAGTTGTGTGTGTGTGTGTGTGTGTATATATATATATATATATATATATATTGCATGTAGAAATGATTTTTGATACCTCCAGACCAAGAACAATTATGTAATATTTCACAGTATTACTGTTTTTACTGTATTTTTGATCAAATAAATGTAGCCTTGGTGAGCATAAGAGACTTGAAGTACATTTAAAAAGTCTTACCAACCCCAAATTTCTTAACAGAATCTATTTTGCATGGAAAAATTACAGATAAAGGGACGTTAAATCTGATTACTTAATAATTTTTGTTGATTCCTTGATCAGGAATCAACGTGGGTCCAGTGGTTGCCGGCGTAATCGGGGCTCGGAGGCCTCAGTACGACATCTGGGGAAACACAGTCAACGTCGCCAGCAGAATGGACAGCACTGGCGTTCAGGGGAAAATACAGGTAAAACAAACACACCATCATTTTAATAAACCAGCATGCTACTCCAAACAAATCTGACATTATTTGCCTCATCATCCCAGGTGACCGAGGACGTCTTCCGCCTACTCTCTGGTTATTATCACTTCCAGTGTCGTGGCCAGGTCAGCGTGAAGGGCAAAGGTCAAATGCTCACCTACTTTCTGGAGGGCCGAACCGTGCAAGGTGGGCAGCACATGCGACCCAAGAGCCCCGAGCACGGGTCGAGCCCTTGCATCCGGACCAAACTGGGATCAGCACCTGCTGTCAGCAGCTACGGGGTGAAAAGTCACACCGTAGGGCACGTTAGCACTCCAAACAACAGCATTATGTACCTGCCCTCTGTTTCCGTCGACATGGAGATGGAGGTGTGATCGCCAAGAAGACTGGTTCTATGGTGATCAATCGATGCATTAGTAAATCAGAGGCAGGGAGGGAAACCGAGCACAAGGTAGGAAGTAAGATGAAAAACGAGGAGAGACGAGACAGTCTTTGCACTGAGGAGAGAAACATTCAAACGTGCCAAACCGAGAAAGGCCCTCCCCCCTTCACGCAAGTACATTATAAGCATGTATGTCTTTCCGTGTGCACGTATGCGTGTGTTTCAATGAGTCTTCCCCGACCAACAGGATATCAGGGTCTCCTAAACGGGAGCATGCGATCTACTGCAAAAGGCAGCTTCACACCAGCCGAGGAGACACATACCCAACGTGTGTGTGAGAGTGTGCGTCTGTGTGCATGTGTTATCTTGCATCTGAAAATGTCAAGAGATGCCACGGCAATGAATATTTTGAATTTTGATATTGTGAGTGGTGAGGACCAAACATTTAGTTTATAACAGCGCTGTATTTTGTACGAGACTGAGTCAGGGCAGTTTCTGAGACGACAGAACACGTGTTGGGTTTTTCCCACAAAGACAAAGAGAGAGAGAGAGAGAGAGAGAGAGAGAGAGAGAGAGAGCGCCAAGGACATGAAATATCGATATAATCGAGAAGTCAGCACAATCGAGGCTGTCACTGATAATACTATTCACAAAAAGCAACCAAATTGGCTTCCAGTATGTGATCAAATGGCTTAATATACATTTATTCCACATATATTTGGTCTGTGGTTTTTCTAAGTGGCACTTCACTTTCAGATTCTCCTATCAACAGTAGCATCTCTCACTGTGCTTGCGGAACGATCTTTACCATGCGGCTGAACATGCATGATATTTTAGTGCTGGATGTGTCATGTGCTCTCTAGATCTTAGGTTAAACATCTGGATTTTAGTGCATCTGTTTCAGAGCATGCAAACATCTCAAACCTGCTCTCGGTTTGGAAAGCCTCACGAGCCTCATTTCAGATTTCAGAACGATCTTTTGATTTTCTTTATGTGCTATTACTGTATCTTTGATAGATTTCCCATGATGCCTAGGCAATGAAGTTTGGCTTCAAGCATGCCGTTCTGCATGTCCCTCTCAGCATGCCGTAATCAGTGTTGGGAAGGTTACTTTGGAAATGTAATGGGTTACAGATTACAAGTTACCCTACTTAAAATGTAATAAGTAGTGTAACTTTTCAATTACTTTATTAATGTAACTGATTACATTTGATTACTTTTTGATTACTTTTCTACATTTCTAATGTTTTCAACTATTAATCATTTTTAAACATGTAAACCCGGCAGGGTTAAACTTACAATATGTGCTCAACACTGATAACTGTCATTCTTTCGAAATAAATTAAGATTATAATATTTTAATTTTAAAGGAGACATTGGATGCAAAGTATCTTACTTTGCATATAAATGTGTCTTAGCAGTGTGTGGACACAACCACCCTACAATGATACAAATTCATTCCTTTTTTTTTAATCCCCCAAAAACCTAAAGAGGATAAATCACTTCACTTTCACTAAATTTGTTTATGTCTGGCTGCGCAAATCATTTTACTCCAGACTGCTTTCTGAATGAGGGACAATTCAAGGCAGGTTTTGTTAAAAAGTTAAAACTCAAGGATGGATCAGTACCCATTGTTCATCAGGAATCGGGAAAGGTCCTAGAGTCGGGATTCAAACACGGGACACCCAAAGCGCAGTGGCACTGTATGTCGGCACGCTGCCCGCAAGGCAATCAGTGCCAATACTCTTTTTATTTTTTATGATTCTTTGCGAATCGCGTTTGCTCTTCCACAGAAGAGAGGGGCGGAGTGAGCAGAGCTCATTAGCATGTAAAGAGATATGCACCCAAACGAGTCGCAAAACATTGGTGTTTCAATTTATGAAGAACTCAATTAAATCTGTATGTGGGAGTGTGCGTGAAAAAATCTGATGTAACCCCCTTTGTAATCCTTAACATTTTCATAAGTAACTGTAATTTAATTACAAAGTTTTTCTTAGTAACTGTAACTGATTACAATTACTTTTATTTTGTAATTAAATTACGTAATTCCGTTACATGTAACTAGTTACTCCCCAACACTGGCCGTAATTCTGTCACGTCGCTCTATTTGATAACTGATTTGTGTCTCTAATGCATGCCTACTGCAAAAAGAAAACCAAGGGTGAAAAGTGTCGAAGATATGTTGCGAGACATGCTTTAGTAGCACAGCATGAGCCCAGAATAATGGCCTTGATGAACCGAAACATCTTTTTTTGTTATCCGATGGCATATCCGCTTACCTGGTCCATGCATGGTGCTGTGGGGGAAAGCTTTCTGGGAGTTTTGTAGCATTGGCGCCTTGTCAAGCTCTTGAAGTGACTGCCTTTTTATCCAGGGTCTGTTAGAGAAAGTGTATCTCTTTGAATATGTGCCAACACATACGGTTACCAACATATCAAACTGTGTGCTTTTATAGTGCAACATAGCAACATTGTGTGCATTCGGTTCCGTTTCGAACTTTACTCTCATATGGGCTGATTGAACCACGTGGGGCTCAATACCGACTCGCAAATGGGCTATTCTTTTTTATTTTTTGACGTTTAATTCATGTTAAGCTACGTATTCAGGAATGCTCTCTCTGATAATATTTTTCGCCGCATTAGGCTTCATTTACCATATACGGAATTTCACATATTTATTAACGTAAAGTAAGGAGCTGTTCATTCGAACTACATATATGTAGATTTTTGGTTTTTATTTAATGATTATGAATGCCAAACGCCAAAATGCTTATTGTATCACTGAATATTTCAGATTCTATGATCCAACAAATGTAGCCAAACAGCTAAATGGTTCTATTTGATATGGCTTAATATGATCTATTTTAACTACAGTGGCCTAACTTACTGCTGTTATGAACATTAATGATATATTAACTTTAATAATGCATAAAGTGTGCACAGTAAAATCATAGAATAGATTTTCATGTCGATTAGATATTTTCATATTTGATACGGGTCAAAATTATTGTACGTATTAAATATATTGTAGAGTTAACGAAAAGAGTATTTTATTGATGATTTGTAATATTTGTGCTCTTTTTGGGGTTGCAATGTATTTATTTCGATGGTTCTATGTGAATGTAAATTTCATATTGACGAGATCTTTTATACTTGTGTTTGCACTGTTCGGGAATAAAATAACAATGAGAGATGATGTGGGGCTTCTGCGTGCTGTTTGCAATGGTTGTGCTGTCGTGGCCGTGGCCTTGACATTGAATGAGACATCAATCTATGGACTGATTGTGAGAGTCAATGACCTGGGAGTTATGACATTGTTTAACTGGAGAAAAACAACTGGGGCAAACAAGGAAGATTCAGTTCTTTTCTTTTTCTTCTCTTCTCTTTTCTTTTTTTATTTTATTTTATTAAAAACCACAAAAAGTCCCATGTCCCACAAAGGTCCATGTCTTCTTTTTAATTTAACGTTTCATTTTATTTTATTGAGACTGACGGAAAACCAGTTTCGTATCCCACAAAAGTCCCATGTTTTCCTGCCTGGGTATTTGCATTAGATTAATGTGTGAAATAAACAGCAGTGCTTCAGAACATCGAGGCTTTAGGAACTGCCGTAGATCCGGCCTATCTTCTTTTTCTTCTATCACTTCTCTTTTCTGCATATTTCCACGGCTTTCCGACCAGGAGCTGCGTTTTTTCATATACAGGATGTGCCCGGTCCTAAGCATTTTAGGGAACAGGGGAAAACAAAGAAGTCTTATCAGGCTGGCATGTGTAAGTAGACAGGATGTGACACATCTGCTGGACACAACTTGCAAATGTTATTTATGAGAGAGAAACTTACACAATCACATCAGGGTGTCAGGATGGATGGACCTTTCAGCATGACCCACGCTCGTCACTTTAGTTACTGGTTATAATATCAAACCTCACTCTTAACTTTACATAGTGTCAACTTGACATTACCCTGCATCTTGTAGTATAAACCATCCTTCCCTACCCAACAACAGAGGAAAAAGAATTTAAATAGACGTCATATGACTGCAAAATGAATTTCACCTTAAAATGAAATTTGTGTAATTATTTACTCAACCTCTTGTTGTTCTAACCCTGCACTTTCTGTGGAATACAACAGAAGTTGCACCAAACCTAATGCAGTCTTGACATGCTATATTTGAATAAGCGTGAATGAAATGTGAAAGTTACAGCTGAAAGATTTCCAGCAAGACATTACTTTTTGGTTTGTTTGTCACTTAAAGCTTAATGTGGATTCAGAACACTTGTTCAGTTGTGTGTAAATTAAAAATTAATTCATTATCTACCACCCTCGTGTCACTCTAAATTTGTATGACTTGTTCAGTCAAACAAAATGTCTAAGATGCTCTTTTTCATACAATAAAACTGCATGATGCTCATGGCTGTCAAGTTTAAAATTTTGCTTGATGCAAAAGTTTGGGGTTGGTAAGATTTTTATACGGAGCCCCGCACATGGCATGCAGGAAAAAAATAGTAGGCTAAATCGTGTGCACGATTTACTGTTTCATTCCTTGATTTATACATTTTGCACACGATTTACTAATTCGTTCCCTCTATTTGTTAAATCGTGCACAGGATTTATCGTTTACAGGACTTTTTGTCCTGTAAATTGTACGCACGATTTAGCAAACCGAGGGAACGAAATGGTAATCGTGTGCACGTTTTAGAACATCGAGGGAACGAATGAGTAAATCGTGCGCACAATTTATTTATTTTTTCTTGCATGTCATGTGCGGGGCTCCGTATTTTTAAATGTTTTTGAAAGAAATCTATTATGTTTACCATGCAAGGCTGCATTTATTTGATAAAAATACAGTAAAACAAATATTGTAACAATGTAAAATAACTTCTGTTTATTAAAATATTTTATGGTGCTTTAATATATTAATACATATTAAAATGTAATTGAATCCTTTGATGGCTGAATTTTAAGCAGCCATTACACCAGTCTTCAGTGTCACATAAAAACAGTTGTGCTGCTTAATATTTCTGTGGAAACTGTAATACATTTTTTTTTTCAGGCTTCTCTGATGAATAGGAAAGAAAAATTATAACATTTGTAACGTTATAAATGTCTTTACTGTCACTTTTGATCAATTTATTGCATCCTTGCTGGATAAAAGTTTTAATTTCTTAAAAAAAAAAAAAATCTTGTACATCTTACACATGGTACTAGTGTATATACCAGGGGTCTCATTCATAAAATGAGAAACCGTCCTACATTGGATAAGATCATTTCTCAAATGTGCATACGTGTGATTCAGGGAAATTAATATATGTACAAAAAACATGCCTCTCTTCCAGATGTAAAATCTATAAATCACAAATGATCTTGAAATTGTGCACAGCTAAATGGTTTCAGATCTCCGCCTCCA